TCTAAAAAGGATGGGGAAATGAGTTTTTGTCAGCTTACAAGCAGGAGAAATTTATCTTTCTTTATCCTTGCATTATACACAATTCACACGAAGATTCAGTTGTTCCTGGGATTATTGGTTGGTTCCCTGACATAAACAGTAGACTTTATCGGTCAGAGGTAGCAGCAGCTGATTTCTCAGCATTAAGCCTCTTTCAAAGCAACCCTACCCTATTTTCACTTTCACTCTCACTCTTATTAACAGGAAATAAAGTTTCAAATTTTGTCCTGAAATTGACACCAGAATTTCACATTCATGAAAAAGATAGGGATGAACTGTAGACCTCATCATTTGTAACATATTAATCAGACAGATAAAGTTAGAGAAGGCAAGAAGAGACACAGGCAGAATTGGTGCATTCTTGCCCAATTTCTCTCAGATTAGAGTTGAATATAATCCCAAACTCTATTGATATACTGGTTATTTTAGGATCTGAGCCTATTTTCCTGAAAGTCTAAGTGAGAATCTTAAGTTTGGATCAGGCCTTAAATTTTCCAATTATTTCACAAAGGAGTCCAGATATTATCAGATGATTGTGGCATTGAAGAAGCAGTGCAGAGCATGCTCATTTTGTTTTTCTTTGTTTTGGGGAGAACACATTTATAGTTATAGGGCCCAACTGGCTTTTTTATTAGTGTAAAGACTTCTCCCAGAAGATTTCTTAAAAATTTATACACACACACACACACACACACACACACATGCACACACACACACATATATATATAATACAGGAAGAGAAAATTGATCAGCTCAAAAGTATGGAGTAGGAGAAATATCACAAAATGAACGCAACCACCCTGTTAATTTTGCGTTACGAGTACACCAAAAGTTTTCCTGTGCCCCCGTCTAATCAATAACCCCTCCCTCTAGATCTAAGATAATTAGTCTCTGACTTTTAACATCAGAGATTAGATTTGCTTGTTTGTGAACTTCACAGAAATGGAATCAAGCAGTACGTATTCTATTGTGCACAGCTCCTTTCACTCAACATTACAACTGGGAAATTCATCTACATTATTGGGTATAAGTGTAGAATGGTCATTTTCATTGCATTAGACATTCCGTTGTACAAACATACCACAATTTACTTATCCATTTTACTGTTGATTTACATTTGGGTTATTTTCTGTTTGGAAATATTATAAATACTGCTGAAATGACCATTCTACATATGTCTCTTACATGCACACGCATATATTTCTGATAGTAATGTACTTAGGAGTGAAATGACCAAGTCATAGAGTACTTATGTTAAACTTTAGCACATAATGCCAGTTTTACCAAGTGGTTGACTCCATTTTCTATTGCTGCGTAACAAACACTCCAATCCTATTGGCTTAAAACAACAATTATTTTATTTCTCACAATTCTGTGAGTTAGATGGATTTTTTTGGCTGGACTTACCCGGCTTCACTCATGTGGCTGTATGCTACTGGTGAATAGCTGGAGATGGAGGACATAAGCTAGAGACGTGGACTCACCCACATCTAGGGCCTTGGTGGGGATGGCCGGAAGACTGGGACCTCTCTCTTTACATGGGACTTTCGTCATTCAGTGGTCTAGTCTAATCTTCTTTACGGAGAGACTGTACTCCAAAAGGGCAGGTCTCCACGCGGTAGTACTTCTTAACCCTGTGTCATGTATGCTGATGTATTATGGGCAAGTCACATGGCCAAACCGTAGTTAAGTGGAAAGGACTACACAAGGGCGTAAATACCAGGAGGCATAATTCTTTTGGCGCCATCAATATCAATATCAAAGTCTACCCTAGTAGTTGCACTAATTTACTCAGGAGCTACATTTGAGAGTTCTAGTTGCTCCACATCTTGGTCCACATTTGGAATTATTGGTATTGTTAATTTAAGCCATTTTGGCACATGTGCACTACAATATCGTAGCAATGTTAACTTGCATTTGACTTATGATTCACGATACTAGACCCTTTTCTAATGTTTATGATCATTTGAATATCTTCTTTCGGAAGTGGCTAAGTCTCTCATCATTTTTCTATTGAGTACTTGTCTTTGTAGAAGTTATTTATATATTCTGTATATGGATCATTTATCATTTATATGTCTTCTCACATATGTGGCTCGCCTTTTTCCTCTATTAATAGTGTCTTTTGATAAACAAAATATCTTCATTTTAATATCATAAAATTTGTCAATCATTGTAATTATGTTTAGTACCCTTTGTGTCCTAAAAAATCTTTTTCTATCCTCAAATACTTGAAAATATTCTTCCATATTATTTTCTAGAGGCTTTGTTGTTTTGCCTTTTATACTTAATTCTATAATCCTCCTGAAATTGCTTTTTGTGTATGGCATGAGGTAAGAGTCATTTTATTGTTTCACCTTATGGATATCCAGTTGACCTGGGACCATTTATTTCAAAGATCATCATTTCTGCCTGCAACAATTTAAAATTATCCCTGGCTGGCCTTCCTGCTCCTAGATTTGGGCATAATGCTGAATTTAACTGTAAGTCTGGGATAATATTTTAAATGGGCATCCACCATAGCTTTAGCATTACAATTTGTTCAGTCCACATTCACCCTTCTTATTCCCACTGATTTTAATCTTCCGTTTAGTAGTTTAGATGTAACTCTCTCTTCAACTATAGAGTAGTTTCCATTTAAAGATTATTTTTATTCATAGTTATATAATATTGTATTTATTTGTATTTATATTTCCAGATGGAAACACAGAGATGGAGAATGGAATAAAGATATAGCTACGTGTGGGCCGGCCCCATGGCCTAGCGGTTAAGTGCGCGTGCTCCACTGCTGGCGGCCCAGGTTCGGATCCTGGGTGCGCACCAACGCACTGCTTCTCCGGCCATGCTGAGGCCGCGCCCCACATACGGCAACTAGAAGGATGTGCAACTATGACATACAACTATCTACTGGGGCTTTGGGGGAGAAAAAGGAGGAAGATTGGCAATAGATGTTAGCGCAGAGCCGGTCTTCCTCAGCAAAAAGAGGAGGATTAGCATGGATGTTAGCTCAGGGCTGATCTTCCTCACAAAAAAAAAAAAAAAAAAGATGTAGCTACTTGAAAATTTAAAATTATATGTGTCTTGTATTATATTTCTACTGTACAGTGCTGGTCTAAATGCTTCAGAGAATACCAACAATGTTTGATAGGATAAAAAAAGTAAAACCAAATTCTATGCTGTAGAAAAATAAAAGAAGAGAAAAAATGTATTATATGAATACTAACCAAAAGAAAGCTGGAGTTCCTATATTGATATCAGACAAAATAGACTTTCAAGCCAAAAGGATTACTAGAGATAAAGATAGTCATTTCACAATGATAGATGCTTCAATGTGTCCAAAATATATAAAATATTTAAATATATACATCTCCAATAATATGGCTTCAAATTTATATAAAGCAAAAACTGAGAAAGAGAGGAGAAATCCACAATCATCGCTGGAGATTTTACCACAGTTTTCTCAGTAATTGCTACAACAAGAAAACAAAAAAGCAATAAAACTAAAAAAAGTTCCTAGCAACAAAAATGATCTAGTGAATATCTAGGTCACACTTCGCACTTCACACAATATCTAGGTGAATATCACACTTCACCCAACAATTGCAGGGTATATAATCCCTTAAAGTGCACAAGGAACATTTTTAACAACTGACTATATAATAAAATAAATAAAATAAGTCTTAGTCAAAAGATGGAATCAAACAGAGTATGTTCTCTGATGAGATAAAATAATGTTGGAAATCAAGGTAATTAGAAAATCTACCATGAGTTTGAAAATTAAGGGTTATATTTCTAAATAACCCGTAGTTCAAGTAGGAAATCACAATAGAAATAGAAAATCTTTTGAACTAAATGAAAATGAAAATACTATGTTTTGAAATGTGCAGGAAGCAATTAAAGCAATATTTACTTGCTTTAATTGTGATAAATGCATATATTAGAAAAAAAGATAAGAAATTAACATAATAAGCAACCATCTCTACTTTTCTCTCTCTCTCTCTCTTTCTCTCTCTCATTGTCTCTCTCTCTCTCTCTCACACACACACACACACCCTTCCTCTCCCTTTCTTCTCTCTTTTTCTCTCTCTTCTTTTAGAGACAGTGTGGAGTAGAGAAATATGCGGTTTTGATCAAAAGGATTTTAAAGTTTGAGTCTCGCTTAGTGATTTGCTAGTTTGTGCAGCTCAGTGGATTCAGGTGGCATATTTCTTATCCTCTCTCTGACTCTTTTTCCTCCTTGGACAATGGGGATAATAATTACCCCATATCAGAAAGCATTATTATGAGTCTTAAACTAGATACGTAAAGAGCTTGTCCCAGAAAGAAATCAATAAACAGGAAACATTATTATTATTCTTGTTCACTCAGACACAGAGGTATGAAGTGAAGTGGTTGATTGCATGGGTTCTAGAGCAAGACTTTTGGGTCACATCTTAGTAGCTTGTGATTTTAGCAAGTAATTAAAATCTCTCTGTAACGTTGTGATAAAAGTATTTGTAATAAGATAAGATAATCTAAAAAAAATAGAAGCTATCATCATTATTATTTATTACTTTCTAAGTGCTAAGTGCCAGTACCTGGGTTAGGTACTGAAAATTCAAAAATGTGTAAGACAAGGTCATTCCCTCAGAGAACTGAGTCCTCACTAACCAAACATGAGTAACCAAGTCCATGGTGAATAAGTCTAATATTCCAGGCAATTGAACCTGGAAAATTATTATATGAGATTTTCTCATCCTTATGCTCTTCAAACTGGCCCACAAACACGAAATAAATAGTGTTATTTTAATTGATCCAGTGGACCTTTTATTTTTATTGCAAGCAGTCTTTAAGTCATCTTCTAATAATAAAATTGGAAGACTCTAGTTGAGAAATCATGTCAAACCCTCTCACTAGCACAGCTCTCAGCCTTTCCTTTGCTAAGTGACGCCCTTGGACTCAGTGCTTTCAGTTTTGTTTTCGTCTATTTCTTCGAAGAGGTTTCCAGTTAGTTTTGATTTCTAATCACTGGGTCTCCAAAGAAAATCTAGAAAGTTTCAGGACATTCGAGAGGTAAAGTAAAAGCCCAAGTTGCCAGTGAGAGAGAAAAGAAAGAGAAACCAGCACAGTCAAACTCAGACAAAAAGGGAAGAGGATAAGCACTTCTAACTTGCTCGTCGAAGCTGCTTTCTGCTCAACTCTGAAGGATCTCTGCTTTGGGTAAGATTGAGGCAGGGTGGGAAGGGATTTATAAGGGTCAGTTAATTTTCACTAAAATGACCATCCCCAGACAGGCTGCAGCTGTGCCTGATCTGGCACACATGTTCAGATGAAATTCTGAAGTTATCAGGCAGCAGGGTGCCCCGTAAGTGCCCCCTGCTCCAGCTCTGTGCTGAATAGTTTCCAGCAGAGGTGGAATCTAAAGCAAGAGTCCGGAATGTTTTAAGATTGTTATTTCTATCTTGACACTTTCTTAAATTACCTTTATCTTTGATAAACCCTGCTTAACAAAGCTCATACTCCATCTCTTTATTGCAAACTTTTAGAGTGCTAGGTAAATAGAAGTGAGGCAACTTGGGGTCTGCAAAAAGAGGCAACAAGTTATTGTAATTTGGAAGTTTATAAAATCTTGATGCAGCCACTTTTTCTGAGTCAGTCATTAATTGATTCACATTTTATAGTGTTACGCCTCTTGTTATAAAATGGGACAATTATTCGCTTGCCAGCAGTCCCTGTGAACCATTGTTGTAGGAGGAAACGGGTCCTGATCATAGAAAAAACAAAAAGGCTCTTTTGGTTTGCCATCTTCCCCTGAAGAAATGGGAAGCCAGACAGGAGGCATATAAGCCCTCAGTAAGAGCAAGTCGGAAGTAATCAACTATAGTGGAAGCAAACCACTATTTCTTATAGGATAAGAATGAAAAATCGTATGCCTCTGGTCTGTATTTATTTGTATCTCAAAAACACGTGTTTTGTCATGATCACTTCAAGTTACAAGGATTGAGACATTGAAGTTAAAAACATAAAGTTAAGGCGTTGCTAAAGGGAGACTTTTCACTCCTTTTAACTTGACAAAATTATCAGTCCCTGGTTAAAGAGGCCATGCCTAAAATTGTGTGAATAAAAAGTCTAAATAGAGCAGAGTTCAGAGAAAAAAGAAGCTTTGATTTATAAGATAATGTTTCATAATTGTAGCTTTATTACCTGAAATAAGTGAAAGCAATATGCAAGCTGATATATATGGAGACAGTAAAGAATCAATTTTAAAACACAGGGAGGTCAAAATCTGGTAACATAATTTAGGAAAAAATCAACAGAGCAAGAGTCAGATTTGAGCTATCAGTCTTGTGTGAAAAACAAATGAATGCAGATGCAGAGCAAGGATTAAGAACCAGCAGGTGGGTCAACAGGATGGGTGGTGATAGCTGGGGAACTTCCTGCACAGTGAGAGGAGCAAGCCACTGGGGAACCTGAGTTCCTCAGTCTGACCCAGACTCTGCCCAGGAACAAACTTGGGGGAAACCAGTTTCAAGCCTGGGTGAGGATGGTGTTTGTGTTTCAAGGTACATAGATATGTTTGACACAACATTCTCCAGAGGAAGTTTGCCTATTGCTACGTACCTGAGCTCGTTGAGCTCAGCTTTGCTCATTCCAAAGATCTAAATGCAAAGGTGAAAAGCTTCAAAAAGAAATTTGGTAATAAGGTCAGAAGATGTGAGACACAAAGAAAAATCTCCATTTTCTGGAAAATGAGATACAAGATGAGCTGGTGGGAATGCAATCTGGTACACCCTTCTGGAAAGGCAATATACAACAAAAGTATATGCTCTTATCTTTTGATCCAGCAATCCCACTTCTAGGAATCTATCCTGAAAAAACAGCTGCACCAATATGTAAAGAAATATGCACAATGTTAGCAGGGTTATTCATTGCAGCATAGTTTGTAATTGAAAAAAAATTGGAAGCAATCTAAATGTCCATGCATAGGAAAATAGTTGAATAAACTAGAATATATGCACATAATGGAGTAGGCATCTGTCAAAAAGAATAAGCTTTCTATGAACTGATATGGAGTGATTTCCATATAGCTATACCATATGATCTTTCATGTTAGAAAGTGTAAGAAAATATACATATATCTGCTCATTTGTGAAAAGGATATCTAGGAAATATAAACCAGAATCTAGCAAGACTGGGTACTTATAGAGGATAGGTGATAATGGAGTAGTAAAAATAGAAAGGTGGAATGAGAATGGAGTGGTCAAATGGAGAAGTGACATTTCTTTGAGCATACCTTTTTGGTAAGGGCTCACTCTTCAACACATGCAATGTTTCACATACACACAAAATAAATACATACTTAAAATCAACCAAGATTTGGGGGAGACCAAAATGAAACAAACAGTAACAAGCGAACCTAATTATATTGCAAATGAATAATGTAACCACACTGGAGAGGCTGAGAAAGGAAAGAACTAAGCAATGTTGGAATACAGTGTTCTGAACGAATAGAAAGTCTAAAGACAGAAAGACCTGTACACTAATATTGTACTCCAGTGAGTAAATTTATCATAGAGTATGGATTAGAAATTTTGCAAATACTTTATGTGTATACTGGGATTGAGCAAATAAGTAAATTTGTTATAGATAATGAGAGCCAGGCCTCTCATAGTCAGAGCAAGGAGTTTAAATAAATAAAGGGGAAAGCTCGAATAAACTCTGTTGTGTTGGATTGGAATTGGAAATATCAATAGGAAATCAAGGTTATATACAGAAGTGGATAGAGAAAGATATAAATGTAGATGTCTCCTAATTTTGTCTCCTGAGGGGGCCTAGGAGGAATGCTTACACCTAGTGCCATATCTTGGCATCTAAGTACTATTACCCAAAGAAAAGAATCAAGGCTTCTGAGAGAAATGGTTGACTCTAGAGCTAAATCAGGAAAAATACAAGATGGACCTGGAATACCTTGTGGTGCCAGAAAGGAAGGAGGTGCTCAGAATATGATGGGAAATGCCAAAAGATCCAGGAGCCAGCCGGAAGGAGGTCTTAGTAAACAAATCCAGGACAAATTAAGCAACAAAATAAACAATGATAATAAAGTATTAAACCTCATAGAATGAAATAAATATCTATGAGTCTATACCAATACAACTAAATAATTAAAAGAGTAAATAAATAAATGGAGAAGGGATAGCTCTTACTTACTTGCTCACAGTAGAACTTGAATTAACAAATGTTGAAGGAATGGTGAAAATACAAAATCACCTACAGGCAAACACCACAGTAATCATTGTTACAAGCAAGAATCATCATCAGTGGATGCTAAAATTAGCCTTAAAAAATGATATGAAATTATGATGAGAATTATGTTTGCATAGTCTCAAAAAACTCCCCAAATGGTACTTTTTAATTACGAAGAGATAAACAGTAACTTTACAGTGGAGAACTATGGCAGACACCCCCTGAGCTAAGGGATCAAAGTTAACATCACAGCACCAGAGTAAGTGCATCACGAATCCCTTGACACAATGCACTGAGACTGGCAGAGCATCACTTCTACGGCATTCTTGCCAAAAATGCATAACCTCAATCTAATCATGAGGAACCACAAGAAAAACCCAAATTGAGGTATATTCTGCAAAATTACAGGCCAGTGCTCTTCTAAAATGTCTAGATCTTGAAAGACAAAATAAAAATGAGGAACTATCAATGATAAAAGACTAAGGAAACATAATGACTAAAGGCAACGAGGGATCCTGGATTGCATTGTGGATCAGAAAAGGATATTAATGAGAAAACTGGTGAAATGCGAAAAAGGTGTGCAGATTAGCTAACAGTATTGAATCAATGTTAAAATCCTGTTTCAATAATTGTTCTATGGTTATACAAGATATTAACATTAGGGAAAGCTGGGTATATATGGAAACTCTTCATATCCATTGTGCAACTTTTCTGTAAGTCTAAACTATTTCTAAGTAAAGTTTTTTTTAAAGAGAACCAATGGAATAGTCTATAGAACAGCCACAAAGGAGTCACAGGACTTTTTGAAATGTACAGGGAACAAAGTTTAAGGACAGAAAACAAAGTATTAGTCTATACTGTAAAGTTCTCTCTCAGCTAACTCACTAGAAATTGCTTTTCATTCCATCTCCTTCCTTGCAGATAAGGCAACACCCTGGACATGGCCTCAGAGATCCACATGCCAGAACCCCTGTGCCTCATTGAGAACACTAACGGGCGACTAGTGGCTAATCAGGAAGCTCTGAAGATCCTCTCTGCCATTTCACAGCCTGTTGTGGTGGTGGCTATCGTGGGCCTCTACCGCACAGGCAAGTCCTACCTGATGAACAAGCTGGCTGGGAAGAAAAAGGGTGAGTGGCACCAGCAAAGCTCTGCCGAGTCCCCTCTGTCCACAAACACTACCAACACCGAGTACAGTGATGCGAGGAGAGAAAGTTGGAGATGGCGAGGAGTATTGAAACCTAACTTTCAATGCACTGATGGGCTCCTTACATTTACTCTGCTCTGGAAGATAGGAGTCAACTCACTCTTCCCACTTTGCTTTCATTTCCCCTTTTAAAGTATAAATGTGTCTTTCTGGAAAGAACAAGGTAGTAATAAAGAAAATTAATACACATAATAATAAACTAGAAAATACTTACTAAAATGTTTATGTATTAACATCAAGCTTATAATGATCTTTAAGATAAAATCAATATCTCAGTTTGTATTGGATATTCTAATTTCCCTATTTTTCTGGTTGTAGTTAAGATTGATACTGATCGTGGTTTCATTTATCTCTTTTAACTTTGATTTTGTTAACTTTTATCTCAATTTCCTGATCCACCTGATATTAAAACTCCACGTCCTCTTATCCCCACTCCCCCTTTCAGGCTTCTCCCTGGGGTCCACGGTGCAGTCTCACACGAAGGGAATCTGGATGTGGTGTGTGCCTCATCCCAAGAAGCCAAACCACACTCTAGTTCTGCTTGACACCGAGGGCCTGGGGGATGTAGAGAAGGTAAAAAAGAAATCTTTTAAATCCTACTTATATCATATCAGTAGCCCTCCTTGCACTATCCCTCCCCACCTTGATTTATGCTTCAAACTTATATTAATGTGTTATTCTTTTCATTTACTTGGTAGTGGTCAAGGTTTGACTTTGGGTCTAATTTGAAGCCAACCAAAGGGAGCCTTATGTGAGGAAAGTAAGCATAAAGTGTGAGAGTAACAGGTTAATTAAAGAGCTGTTGCCTGCCTTCAATGCTGAAGCCCACCTGGCCACACATATAAGCATTGAGAGTGGACAGTAAGGCCAAATGATAGGTTGTGCAACCCGCAAAACAATGGCCTATGATATTTTTAGTCATTTTTCTTTAATATTGTAGGAAAATGTTTTGGTGAGGCTGCTAAAGGTGACTCTCCACCTCATTAGACATTTTACAAACACGTCAGACTTTTCACAATGGGAACCCAGAGAGATGGTAAAAGTGACCTTACACAAAGTTGCACGAAGCAAGTAAGAAAAGCAAAGTATGAGATCTGATGACAACATCTTTGTTCATAAAGGATCATACATTATTATTCTTAAAGGTACTAGACTTAGAAAACTCTTATTAAGGGGCATATTTTAACTACTGTCTGAAAAGTTCCTTACCATGACATGTCATGGGAACGGAATAGGATCAGAATCTAAGTTCGGGAGATCTGTTTGAATTTTATTACTTGATCATAATAGCTACTACTAAGTGCTTATGTGCTTTACACTCTCATGTATATTTATACACAATGCCTTATTTAAATTTCACGACACCAGGAATTTAAAGTTCATAAATTCATCGTACAGATGGAAAACATTTGCCTCGAGAAGTTTCTACAGTTAAATAGAGACAGAGCTGAGTTCAGACTTTGTCCATCTGAATTGAAATCACGTGTTCTTAGTCACTCTTCTATATGGCTTTTACAACGACTTTTAGGGAGACAACCAGAATGATTCCTGGATCTTTGCCCTGGCTGTCCTCCTGAGCAGCACCTTCGTATACAACAGTATGGGAACCATCAACCAGCAGGCCATGGACCAACTGCAGTATCCTTTTTGTGGGCCAGAACAACATTAAATCTAGAAAATAACACCATCATATTTTTACGTGGTACAGCTGTGGGCAACTGCAGAAGAATTCAAATGTCCCCTCCTTAACTAATCCCATTATGCTCAACGTCTCAGTTTACTTCAACCACCCCCAGAAGTCCAAGCCTTTCTGGTCACACATTATCTTTAGGCACTTAGCTGTACAAGGCTCTGCAAATTCTCTATCTGACTTAATCTCCATTGCGAAACCCTCAACATCCTCTAGAACTCATGCTCTTATTCAGCAAATCTCTATATCCTTACCATCTTCTCTAAATATTTCCTTCTAACTGTGTTCCGTCTATACTCTGCGGACCTTGTTTCCCCTATAGACATCTCAAGTGGTCTTAAGTGGTAATTTTTTTTCTCCCATAGCTTGCATATCATAGGTCCCAAAAAAGTGAGATAACCTCTTTGTTCCCTATAAGAGTTTCCAGATACCTTCTCATTCTTCTCTTATTAAAAAGAGAAGCTTTGGGCCAGCCCTGATGGCCTAGTGGTTAAAAATTTGGCGCACCACTCCACCCATCAGTCAGTTGCCATGCTGTGGCAGCCCCTCGCACAGAGGAAGCAGAATTACTTACAACTAGGATATACAACCATGAACTGGAGCTTTGGGGAGGAAAATAAATGAGGCAGATTTGAAACAGATGTTAGCTCAGGGTGAATCTTTCCTCGCAGAAAAGAAAGAGAAG